AATGAATACATTCAGGCGAATTTTAGGTGTGGCCCCCAATAGGCGATAAGATGGGAGGAAGTAGACTTAAGTGCGTTGGCCATGTGTGGCGTAGACCAAGTACAACACCCATTAGAAGATACGTGTTAGTTCAGGTGGAAGGCTCAAAAAGAGCAAAAGGTGGGCCCAAAAAGACATGGTTGGAAGTAGCGAGAAAAGATATGAGGACTTATGGCCTCATTGAGGGTATAGCCCTTAATGGAGAAGAATGACGAACCAGGATTCGTGTAGCTGACCCCAATTAGTTAGAAAAAAGCTTTGACAATGATGATGTGAAGATTCAAAATTTGAATGATATCATTTCTCTATATTACTTTAGCCAATTCATATGGCCTCATACATATGACATATGGGAAGTAGACTTTTGTAATACATGTGGATCAATCTCCACGTGATGTGTCTCCTTTGGAGGCCCATTTTGGAATGGTCTTAGGTCTTTCATTTAGTTTCAAACAATACGCCTTCTAGAAAAAGTTATCTTTTTCCACGTGTGAAATGATTCCACTCCCACTTTAAAATGGAACATACGTATCTAAAATAAGTGATAAAACAAACAAGGGGGAAGGGTGGCCCTGCTTTGACATTGTGTTTATGTTCAGCATGTGGGCGCACGTGGGGTCCATGTGGGGGTGATGTCAAACACACATGTGACCCATTGGCCTTTTAGGCCATATATATGTCATTTTGTCTTTGTTTGGCAATTTCATAAACAATTTTCCCTAGGCTATTTTGTCTTTGTTTGACATTTTCAAAAGGTTTAGAGGTCCAGAAAAATCTTTGAGAGAAATTAGGAGCCTACGGCCTTCGAAACTCACAATACAAGGGCATCTGCTCGATTTATCCTAAAACACACATCCACTTTCTTAAATAGACCCAATGAACCCATGACCCAGAGTCATACATAGAGGTTCATGCTTGGGCCATCAAAGCTAACCAAATGGGCTCCTCTCTCATGCACATGTGCATGGCTTTCCTAGGAACTCCCCCCCGAGAAGGAGGCTTTCCAAAATTGCAGCTATCATATGTACATGCCGTGGGGAGGCAAGTGTCAATACTTTAAGCCTCCGCTTCATAGGCTAGCCTCCCCACATGGAGGTTCCACTCAGTCCTCCAGCCAAACCACAACGATATTTCTGACCTTGAGCAAAGGATGACAAAAAATCCTCACTGGCACCTGCTTGGGCCTTAAGCCAGATGCCCATGGGCATAGGTTTTTCTATGACTCAAAGTTTTAAGACTCCCAGGTCCCAGATTGCTTAGGCCCAGTAAGTCACCCAAAACTGGGTCCCTCTCGAGTCCCATGCTCCTATGGAGATCGAGGCTCTGACAGGCTACATGAATCCAACATCTCCCACTTGGCCTGGCTATTGAGGCCTCATACACAAACACACTCGAAAGTGTACATGCGAGAGAGAGAGAGAGAGAGAGAGAGAGAGAGAGAGAGCACATTACACAAGATATCCATGCCAGAAAGACTCAATAAGTAGGTCTCCTGACCACAAATGAAGAGGAATTAGCAATCGCATCCATGATCCCTTCCAAACAACATACACATAGAATGAGTGTAGCTGAGATGAGGATGTTGAGATGAATGAGTGGAAAGACAAGAACGGATAGAATTCAAAATGAATGCATTCAAGAGAATTTAGGCATGGCACTAATAAGCGATAAGATGAAAGAAAGTAGACTTAGGTGGGTTGGCCATGTATGGTGCAGACCCAGTACAACATCTATTAGGAGGTGCGAGTTAGTTCAAGTGGAAGGCTTAAAAAGAGCAAGGAGTAGGCCCAAAAGGACACAGTTGGAAGTAGCGAGAAAATATATGAGGACTTATAGCCTCACTGAGGATGTGGCCCTTAATAGAGGAACAATGCTGGACCAGGTTTCATGCAGCCGACTCTAATTAATTGGGAAAAGGGTCTAAGGATGATGATCCATGATCCCTTTCATCTAGTGCCCCTCGTCCAACTTAGCCCCCCAAACTTGTCCTAGTCATGAACTCCTACCAGCATCCCGCAACCGGGTTTAGGGAGACGGGGCCACCACATCCTCTAGCCCCATTTCTTTCCACTGGGACCCATGCCATGGCCACCATAGTCTAAATCACTGTGAACATTACTCAACCCCTAGTAAGTGCTCACCTCCCCCTTCCCCACCAGCTTTACTCCAGTTGGATCAAGGGAGGACTAATATCACCTCAACAGTATGCTCCTTCGGGTAAAGGTTTAGGGGGGGGGGGGGTGTTATCCTTGATAGACTATCTAGTCTCCAACATTCTCTCATAGGAGTCTTTCACCCTCGAAGAGATGACCAAGAGGTACTAAACGATGGGGAAAGCTTATCTGGCATGAACTAGATCAGGGTTATCGTAAACTTGCATGGGGGCAGGGTAGATATGTTATTCTCCCCTAGCAAGTGCTCAATGAAAAGTGCCTTGGCATCCAACAACTCCCTCTTCAAGAGAGGACCAAGTATGCTCCTCCGAGCAAGGTTGTTGGGGAGGGGGGGCAGGGGCATTATCCTTGATAGACTATCTAGCAGCCACCGTTCTCTCATAGGAGTCTTCCACCCTCGAAGAGACGACATAAGAGGTATTGAAAGATGGGGAAGTTTATCCGGCATGAACTAGATCAGGGTTACTTTAAGCTCGTGTGGGGGGAGGGTAGATATATTCTCCTTCCCTAACGAGTGCTCAATGAAAAGTGCCTTGGCATCCATCTTCCTCTTCAAGAGAACCAAGCTAACCCTAACACCATGGTTTATAGATATAGGGGCAGTTCGTAGATAGAGGGTCTAGATCACGGTGTCTGGTGAACCTCTCCACACCTTGGATCCCTCTACTTTCAAACTCATACTTCATCTCAATCCTGTGGAGATAATACAGTATGTTTCTTGCAGTCACAATAAACATCTGATAGATTCAAGTACACTAGAACAATATCACAAAGGATTCTAATTCTATACATATATATCATGCACATCTTTGTGAAGAAAAGCGTTCTTTGCATTAAACTAATACATAAGGTCTCATGTGTACAAATGTAGAGAGCGTAGATACCATATAGTAGTCATCTTGACCACAAGAGTAGAGATCTTCCCATAGCTCAAGCCATACATATGATAGCAATTATTCCTAGGCCATACTTTCATGTGCTAGTGGGCCATCAATTCATCAGCTTGCCTTAAGTTAGTCAATCCAATGACCTTCCTTCATTAGATGGTCCCCATGATCTTCCTTTATTGCATGATACCAACAAGCTAGGGAAGCAGCTTTGGTTAGGAAGTTGACCCAAATGGGAATAACAGGAAGCAGAAGGAAATGCATGAGGGAGAAGGTCCAAAACAAATACACTAAGGAAAGAGTTCACAACAACCAGAGAAGATGCAACTTAGAAAGGGCGTAGATTAAGAAGAGCTGTAGGACCAAGAGCAGTAGAAGATGGAAAAATCCAGGACAATGAAAAGAAATAGGTGAAACACTGTAGCGAGTCAAATTAGTTAAAACAAGTCATGAATGCTCATTTATTAAAGGGAAATTTACCAAAATACACCTCACTTTTCAACTATTAAACATTTACCCTATTTCTACAATTCCAAAACTCAAAATCATGTGTATTTTGATGGCATTTTGAAATTAAAATAAACATTACGGATAGAACGTTAAATAATTAATATCTTAGGTGTATTTTGATAAATTTGCCCTTATTAAATAAGGTTGCTGACATGTAAAGTCAACTTCACAAATAGACATGCGATGGGAGCTGGGATCAGAGCACTGGCAACCTTTCAACTAGAAAAACCTATTTCCTACCTTTGGGAAGAATTCCGAATATGACAAATGATGATTATGACAGCAAGGATGAGGGCGGAAGGATGAAGATAGACATTAGAAGATACTAAAGTGATGATATTTCATTTCTTTTTTAATATGAAGTTGAATGCAAAAGGTCCCAATCACACATATCACAAATTCAAGGGCATAGATATTGGTGAGGCACTTAACGATTCAACTGGGGTTCTAAGATTAAGGCTTTCAATATGCAGTTCTTTGAGATTTTAAGGACATGACCTGGATCAGATCAGCCAGACAGAGGCAACTTATCGTTTCTCAATAGGCCGCAGGAAAGCGTTCACCTATGCCTTTGTTTATTCAAATCAGAACCCCAAAAAAAGCCAGAGCAGCTCATGGCCATGAAGATCGAAGACATTTGGGACATTGCGTAGTCAAATATTTCAACAGACAAATAGTCTAGGATTACTACAATTTCAAGTACTCCAATGAGCATCAGTTGATAACCCTTCACTCCTCTAAACTTAACTAGAAGCACAGGCCAAACGTAGAATGTCTAACAATTGTAATCTTTATTTCAGTAATAATAGAAGGAATTGGTCTCTGTTAAAATTTAATTTCAGGAGGACCTTTGCAACTACTTGGAATGGGATAATATGATGTTTATACACCATAAAACACACATTCAAGGTATTTGATGTCTTCAAAGTCATCTAATCTATTGTCTCAACAGATTTGACAGTTGATTAAAAAATTGATATCTTAACCCCAGGAAAAGAAAATATTCAGATAGGATGATGGCAGAGTATTTATTCTGAATGCTATTTGTTTTAGATTTTAGAACACCTTTACCCATTGCCAGATATCTCCTTATGCTCTATACTAATTGTGCTACATTGCAATAAAAATACGTAGAGAATTACAAGTGCTCTTTAAAAATCAAAATGTGGAGAGATTAAGCAATTGCGGTTGTTAATTACAGGGAGAACTCAGGACCCTATGGCTCAAGTGACAGTTAAAGAATTAAGTTGCATTATTGTTGTTTTTTGAGGAAAAGGTTGAAAGTGGATTCTATGAAGCAGTGATGGTCAGCAGCCAATCTCTTAAGTCAAAACATGGTAGCGATCCTCACCTGAAGAAGAGACTGAGGAATATTGGCTAGAACAATCCTCAGGACGAAGTGCTATTTCACGGAGAGCAGCATTGCCTCGGTCAATGACTAACAGTGAACAAGTGCTTCCAACATATACAACATCAAAGTCACTAGAAAATTTTGCATCTTCACTAGGCCCGTCACTGTAACCGGCAGCATTAGATTTACCTCCAGCTATGGTTGTTACACCTGAAAAACAAATGAATCTGATCATTTGGAGAGAGAGAGAGAGAGAGAGAGAGAGAGAGAGAGAGTTTAATTAATGAGAACGAGAGAAAAGACAGCTTTGCTTGTCTCTTGCTCTCTCATATATACACACACACACACACACACATATTCTCTTCCTTGTTTCGTTGAGAACTTGAATGAGTTTGATTGTTGCACCTGCTTCACCAATCTTTCTTATAGCCATGTTCAAGGTGTCTGCAACGTATACATTTCCCCTATCATCCACAGCAACCCCCTTTGGATGATTGAAACGGGCATCACTTGGTTTCCCATCCACATGCCCCAAGTGACCTTGAAATGACCCAGCGACTAACCTCGCCCTGCTATCTACAATCAAACTCATAACGAAGAATCAATATTTTACAAACACCATCATGGCCACAATGTACAACATAAACACTTAAGCTCCCATGCAATTAGTTCTCTATTTTCTTCAGTGAATAAAGTTGGATCAAGAGGACCCCAATAAAGATGTCTACAGTGCAAAGGAAACGATACCAATATTAAGCGTTAGTAACAGAACAACCATCATAATGAAGATAATAAAAAACAAGACCAGAATTGCAGTTAATTTTTAAGGAAGGTCACATACATGGGGAGAGTGGTGGAGTCATTCGGACAATATTGCTGTTAATGGTGTCAGAGGCAATGAGCTCCCCCTCTGGCGATATGCGGATAACATAAGGGACAATGCCGAGCTTGTTCCCTTCAACAACAGTCTCCACCACATACCCATTTTCAAACTGAAGAAAGTTCCCATCTGCAATTTATAGAATTTCATGTACATCAAAATTAATAGCGCCATCTAAATTTGATATTATAACATATACACACACTTAAAAGACAAAAGGAGATAAAATGGGAACTTAAACAAAATGAATTGAAAGAAGGCACTGTAAAATCCTATCAGTGAATGGTAGAATTATTAATGCATAGCTAAGTGATGATAGAAATCCCCAAAACCCTGCAAGAAAAAACCTTCAATTATAAAAAATAATAATAATTAAGCATGTTAATATAATAGTTCCCAGTGTACCCACCCCATGATGGCCAAATCAATGGATAAAGAAAAATTCAAAAATAAAAAGAGGATCAAAACTCTCATATTTAGTAATTGACTCTTTATATGTTGATTACCAATAAAAAAAAAAGAATAAGGAAAGAAATTGAGTTTTTGGATAGAACTGCTGAATCAATACTCGCCAATAAGCTCCGATACATTACACATTGACGGAAACATGGAGATTTTAGAGAAACCTGAATCAATGCCCTCCTTTATGTGGTTCAATGCCACATAGACATTATTAGGAAAGAGAAAAAAACTATGAAACTATCAAGACCATTCAGAAGACTGACATTTTTATTTTTAAAAATAGGGAACAAAAAGCAACAACAACAACTAGCATGAAAACATATATATATATATATATATATATATGAGTGTCAGCTGAAAAATAGGATAATAAATGAGACCAAAACTGACCATTTTGGGAAGCTTTGGGAGAGGCCCTCATCCATCTGAACAGAGAATACAGGGGCCTAACTATGTACTCTGTTAAAATCACCAAGCACTTTCATGAGCTGGAGGATCTCAAAGGAAAAAAACGGAAAGACAAACCAATAAACAACTAAACAAAATCATAACAACCCAATTCCACAAATCAGCGCACACACACACACACAAAAAAAAAAAAAGGAGAAAAAAATTACAAACACATGAATTCCTTACCTACTGGAGCAGCATAAGCTTCAGAAACACTGAGAGAGACCAGAAGAAGTGAAAAGAACAGTGCATATTTCATATCAAAGAACATGAATTTCTGAATGCACATTCTAATATCTTGAGATATGGATTATAGTGAATATGCTACAGAGAAAATGGTCAAGGAGCATCACCCTCTCTCTCTCTCTCCTGTCACTCACTCCACCACAGTGGAGCAAGAGCACCAGGAAAACATGGGTCTGCAAGTTCATTGTATGTAAATGACCATAAAGCCCTTGTTCCTATAATGACCAAAAAGACCTCTATCTTTCATTCAAAATTCCTGAAATATCTTTATTCTAAAGTTGCTACTGATGCCCCCAGCGTTAAAAAGCTAAAAAAAGGTCTTCCCCTCTACACTCTAAACACTTTACTATTAAAAGATGGACATGATTTCTACGAGTCCAAGGAGTCACATGTAAAAATTAGTCATCTCTTAAAATATATTTTTGAGATGTATATTGGACTCAATTGTTAATAATATGTAACTAAAAGAAATAATAGAAAATGATAATTTTATGAAGAAAATATTCCTCTTAAATTTTTTTTAAAAACCACCCATTTACGTCCATCTCTAATGATGTTGCATGAAAAAAGCTCATGGAGTAAGTAAATTATTTGACTTCATTGAGTGGATTGGTGTGGTGTCCGGATAATATCAAGTGAGTGATTTATGTATGGATCTTAAATTTTTTTATAAAATACGAAATACATCGTTTATAGATGAAAACTATAGGGCTAGTTTTTCTATGTTTTTTCTACAGCATAAAACTTATATACTTCCCCTTATCCAACCGTTCTTTCTGAATGGAGGGTTAAGATTGTCTCAATCACAATGTCACGTCTTTACACTATTTTTTTTTAACTTTTTTTATAAACTATTTTGGCACCAAATTTTGGACGTCTAATCCTCTATTAAACTCGCACTAGCAAAAATATTAAAAAAATATTTCTAATAAAATAAAATGACCAAAATACCTTTGAAAGTTTCAATGGGTATTTTGATCATTATATTTTAACGAAAATTACTTTTTAATATTTTTTATAGGTGCTCCCCAATGAGAAGATGGTTCGTACCAAATTCATATTCATACAATTTGTATAAAAAAACTAAAAATAAATTACTTTGAGACGTCGGATCTAAGATCAAACGGTAAGTGGCTCTCTTGATCAAAATTGGACAGCTGGATGATAGGGGAAACATAGACCTTTTATGTTGTAGGGGAAGTATAGAAACCTTTCTCAAAATCATAAAGAAGTTTCTTTTATTTTTTCCAAATTGTCTTTCTGTTCTAGGATTTCATCCTTGAGACTAAATTTTATTTTTTATTTTTAGTTTTTCGTTAGTGGGGAAACTAAAATTAAAATTAAAACTAATGAAAAACAAAAAAAATAAAATTCGGTCCAAAGATCCTGGGATCAATGGGTAAATCTGAAAAAAAATAAAAAAAACATGGGTTGGTAGGCTTTTTTATAATTTTTTCCTGAACATTTTGCATTTAAAAAATAATAAAATTAAAGTCCATACCTAAATCACTCTTTAGTTTATTTCCACTAAATTTTGCTGTTGCCCGATTGCATCGAAGGGTACATAGAAAGGTCCCAACTCCCAAGAGATTCCCAATATGGACTCAAAATGTAAAGTAGGGCCAAAGTGGGGACTCTTTGGTAATAAAGCTCAATTTTTTTTGGAATTTTACCTTCTTTGAAGAAAAACCAAAGTCTAGGCTTTTTCCATTTTTCTATCACGAGCAAAAGTAAAAGGTGGTTTTCATTGTCCTTTGTCGTGTCAACATGGCCCCATAAATTATCGGGATAATTATAGATGCACCTTTTGACTTAACTTTCTAGGTATCCTGCCCACTTTCTCCATATTGTGAACTTCAAAATTACTTCGTTTTTTTAATTTATTTACCCAGGCCCAAGTAAAAATGAGATAAATACTAATGGAAATTCTTATTCTTACAAACCTGGAGCAAACATGAGATATATAAGACGCTGTTGGAAAAATCGGGTGATCTAACTGCTAACCGCCTAGTTAGATGGCCGATTTCAATTTTGGGAGGTTTTTGTGATCGATCAGTATTTAAAAAAATTTAAAATATATATATAATTTCTCAAAAATAAGAAATTTAGTTTGTAATGTATTTTTTAATATTATTTACATTATAGTAAATATTAAAAGTTATTTTGGTCACTAATACTCGCTTTTATATTTTCTCATATTTTTCATAAAATTTAAAAAATACTTCTAGCCACAAATCCATTGGTTAAAATCCATTTTTTCATTAATTTTCAACTTCATTTGAGTGTGTTTTGTTTTAATCATTATTCATATGCTTTTCATATTTTAGTAGATTTTTTTTGTATTCTTTTTATTTTTTAAATACTTTTTTTATTACCCAGGGTTTGCCTCCAATTAGAGCGGTTGAATCGGCCGGTTTACCGATTAGGCCGATTAAACCGCTTCCAAGCCTATGTCCAGTTAACCATTCCGGTTCAATTTTGAAACACTTATGTCTTTTGCACTCAAGGTTGCTTAAGATGGCGCCAAACTATCAAAATACCCAACTTGGTTTTTACAATGCTTGAAAATTGAAAAATCGAGAGCTCTGATTGCGCCACCACTTCAAGGGAGGGCAGTTACAAACCTCTATGCCCGTAAACAGCCTTTTCCTGACCGTTCTAAAGTGGAGAACCCTTGATTTTGAGCCAAAACCCTAATTTCTTCCCCTTTTACTATTTTACCCTTCAAATCCTAGGGACCTTAGGACTCCGAACCATAGCCTAGACCCCTAATATCATGAAACTTTCCAGCAACTCTTAAGGAACCCTCATCCACCTCTTCAAAGCCAAAAACAACCATCACGCGCCACAATTTGGGCTATGGACTGTCATTAAGTATACTCTAGACCACCATCGTCCATCCCGCTTTCAAAGCTTCTTTAACCTCTTTCGAATTTCATACTCAGCATATTTACCTCAATTAATCTGCAAAGATGATGGAACTAGCACTGATTTGTCCGACTTATGTTCCAACTGTAGGTGCCAAACTTGTGTGCCTGACTTACCAAGGAGACCCACTTCTCTCCCCATTTTTCTTCCATTTCTTTTTAGGAAAAATGACATTTACCTCTTTTCCCAAAACTTTCATCCCTATTAGCCCCTTGAGTTCCCAAAATCCCTTGTACCCCCCCAAATTTAAAATTTTGGGACTGTTAGCCCCCTAATTGTGTTTTTTTTGTTTCTTGATAAATTTAATCTTTTTATTTTACAAAATTTTCCCTTCCCTTTCTCTTTCGTTGCCTAAAACCAATCTTTCCTTTGTGGATCCCACTCTATTAATTTAGACATGAAAAAAAATAATAATGAATTTTTCTTTAACATTATCACCTATTTTACAATTATATCAATATCGTTTGAACTTGAAAAATGATTAATAAATATATTTGCTATTATTATTAATGGTTATTATTATTTATTAAAAAAGTTCATCAAAATACTTGTAAGAGATGAAATATTTAACAATTAATATATTATTGTCGTTATTATTGTTATTATTATAATTATTAATTAATTGTAATAATTATAAATTATTATCATCAATAAAATTTATATATCAAGTCACAAAAAAAATATGGATGACTAATGTATGGGTTTGGCATTTTGTAAAACAAAGAGATCAAATTTGTAAAAAGAACAAAGAAAAATATAATTAAGGGGCTAATGGTCACAAAGTTTAAAATGTGAGAGGGTGCAAGGGATTTAGGTTAACCCAAAGGGTTAATAGGAATGGAAATTTTAGGGAGGGGGTTAGAGGTCATTTTCCCTCTTTTTTTTTTATTTGCTTAGTGCAATTTCCCTTTCTCATAAATATTTCAAAATCTTTCTTCTGTTTTTCAAGTTCTTTCAAAGCTTTCATTGTGGTTTTTGGTAAACCTTACATGGCTTAGTCGGCGGACTATGGAAGGAGAGTGGTAAGCTGAACTTTTGCAGGTAAATGTTATGGGACAATACTACATATTCCAACTCCTAAAGCATCGCTCTCTTTATGAAAGTCTGACTGAAATCCGGTAATGTGCGAACCGGAGCAGTAGTCATAGCTATTTTGAGAGTTTCAAATGTTTGGTCTGATTTAGGATTCCAACTACAAGCATCCTTCTTGAGGAGAAATGCTGATCTTCCCATAATCCTTTACAACTTCCGATAGTAATCAGTGAGTCCGAAAATAGCGCATTAGAGGATTGAGGCTTGGGCCACTAAACCATACTTCGTATTTTTTTAAGATAAACTCTAACACCACTATGTGAAATAATATGCCCCAAGTACTGCACTTCACCTTATCCAAACAATTACTTGAAACATTTGACATAAATCTGATTTTTTTCGCAATTGCTCAAGCATAAGCAACACATTTTCTTCATGATCTTTCCAAGATTTGTTATAGATAAGAATATCATTAGAGAAAACTAAAATAAATTTACAGAAATACTCAATCATTAGGCTCTGGATTGTAGAGGGTGCATTAATGAGGATGAATGGCATTACCAAGAATTCATAGTGTACCTCATCGGTTCGAAAAGTTGTTTTTTGCACATCCTGCTCATGCACATGAATTTGACGATATCTTGAACGAAGGTCGAGCTTGGAAAAAAATTTAGCCCCATGAAGCTTATCGAGTACCTCATTTATTATCTTGTTTAAAGCCCTGTAATCCACACACACATGCTAGCTTCCATATTTTTTCTCGCCAACAAAACCAAAGACGAGTAGGAGTTCACACTTGGGGGAATAATTCCAGCCTCTAACATCTACTATACCAAGGACCAAAGGGATCCAATGATCTTGCGAGCAAGCCAGAGGTAACTCCACCTACTCCTCAAACACATCTGTAAATTACGCCAAGATGTGTTGTAGAGTTGGGGGCTAACCCTCTGCATTCAAGGTAAATAATTGTGTTTGCATCCACAAGTGATTTTTATGAAGTAGCGATTCCATGCTCTTAGCACTAATGAATTTTTATGACCCAACATTGGTTCTCTATATTGTATGGCATCTGTACATATATATACTAATAGGTAACTAATCACCGTGTGGAATGAATCATGGAGGTTTTATCTTTCTCTCTCTAGGGTTTTGGTAATTTTACATGGTATTAGAGCTCTACCAATCTCATATCTCTCTTCATAGAGGCATA